CCTATTCTCACTCTATTAGATATTTTGTTCCTATATTCAAATTTATTTACTAGTTAAGCTGGAAATCTCAACCCATAAGTGGGATTTATTTAATTATTTGTTTAGTCATGATTTGCTTGTCTTTTCTCTCCTTTTTTTTTAAGTGTTGTCCCCTTTTCATTTTCCTCCCTTTTTTATTTTTTATTTTTTTATGTCATTTGTATAGATTTTTGTGGTTCTTAAGTTATTAGCTTATAGTAAATTCAGTGGTGAAGAACATTCAATGATAAATCTGAATCTTAGTTCCTTAGCATCTGGCAATGTCTACAATTTACACTATTTAATTCATACTGTCTCTTATTCAAGAAGATCTCAATCTCAGTTGCTTATTGATGGTTAATTTGATAGCATACCTTCATTTTGAGGTCAAGCAGTTGTTTTTCTGTTGTCTGACTGCATTACTTATTGACAGAGAGAAGATGCTGCTCAACTGCATCAATTCATATTACATGCAGCGCTGGATATTGTTCAGGACCTTGCATGGACGACTAGTGCAATGTGAGTGCTACTGCTCGTGATATATCCATGTTGACAAATTCTAGAGAGATATTTGTGTTTTTCTCTTGTTTGTTTGCTCTTGTTTCCCATTATCCTTTTAACTGTAACTTCACATTTTTTGTGTAGGTTCTTGAAATCGATTGACAGGTTTAATGATTTGGTTGTATCAGTTTATGTAACAGCTGGCCATATCCTTTATACATATATTTACTGATTTATTTATGCCATAATGTAGCTGTTGCTTTGCTGACAAATATGTGAATTATGATGGAATTACAATTTCTGATTGATGGTGTATTGGCTGCTCATCCTTTTCTTTATTTTTGATTTTTGTATTTCTTTGACTTTATCATACATACAAGATTTATGCTACTTCATGACTCTCGTAATGATGATGGCATCAAGAGCTTTTTCCAGGAAGTTCATGAGCTTTACATAAAGGTAACTACTGGTTTCCTGCTTCTGCTTTTAACTTTCCCCCAAAGTTTCATTATTGCAGATAGTCAACTAGATCTGTTTTGATTTATTTCTATTTTTGTTTTCTTTGTTTCCAAGTACCTTCATTGTTTATTTCATTTTAGTTACTGAGTTGTAGTTGGCAAATAATAAACGGATTTCTTGAAAGACTTCTGCAGACACCTATCCTCTAAAGACAAAATATTGTAGTGAGTGGTTGATGGTTTTTGCTAGACTGTTTGCTTGTTTAGACTAGCAGGCGTTGTCTGCCTTTGAAATTTTGATCTGTCCTTATGAAACTCTGCATGGTTAGAAACCTCTCCCTTCTCTCTGATGTACTTGGGGCTTCTGTAGCTATGACTTTCTCCCATTGTTGTTCCCTCGTTTCTTATTTCTTTTGTACATGATAACATGGTTCTTGATAATCACTCATAGCTTTTCTGGTACAATCTCTAGCAGAGTAGATGATTTTCCTGACTCCACAAAATAACCCCATTCATTTTTGTTTGAAATAATGGGAATTTGCAGATTCTTCTGAATCCACTCTACTTGCCAGGTTCCCGCATTACTTCATCGCATTTTGACACAAAAGTTCGAGCCCTTGCAAGAAAATATCTGTAGGTAGAGCCAGCAGGTTACAAGCTTACATACCCTTTTAACCTTTCTGAACATTGTGTGTTTGATTATAGAGAATGTAGAGAATATACAAAGCCTTTTCATGGTTTCCTACTCTTTTATTCATTGTGACTTTCATATGGAAAATGATAGCCAACTGGTAAATCTTGCGGTTCTAGTTGCCTGTCTGATACAGTGATTTGTGTTTGTTGTTTCCAGGAAATGTTTTCTCGAGAATTTTCGTACTCTTGCATCTTCTGTAGTATTTCAGTATGGTGATATTTTCAGTCTTTCCTCATTCCTTTCAATCAAAATTTACAAGAGTCAAATTCATCTGGAAGCTCCATTAAATTTGAACCGAGCCTAACCAAGTATTTCCATTAAACTGATTCGATTGAATCATTGAAACCTAATACATATTGCTAGGTAATTAGCTGGCTTTCTATAATTTCATTTAGCAGAGAAAAAGCAAAAGAAAAAAAAAAAATCTTAATTGTATGTCTTTATTTGTACCAAATCTTAGATTGGAGATGACCAAACCTATTGGTTGGTTTCAGAACCGAATTCGAGATTCCACTAACCGAACCCATAAATCGAAGATCTATAACCTGATATCCATTGACTAAACCAAGGCCTAACGCTAATAACCGTTTCTAAGAACTTTGCCCAATTCCCATTAACCAAAACCTAATCCAATAACGATTTAGTCTTTGATTTTTTCTTTTTTCTTTTTTCCTTTTTTTTTTTTAACACCTTTAACACCTATGTTCAAAACTCCTCTTACCTCAAATTTAGGGTTTCTACTTATCAATTTCTTTCACTTATTATTATTTTGGTATGAATCACCCGGTATTTGGAAGTCCACTGGACCATCGACTAATTTGGATTCAACTCAGGCAGGATTCAACAGGCGATAAAACTCTCCCTCACGAGTTTTAATGGAGTTACATTCTCAGAATTTAAAATCAAAATTTCTTATTAAATTAAAAAAGTTTCCTATCAATCCATTCACGTGGCTCGTGAGTATTTCTTTCACTTATTATTATTATTGTTTTCGATCCTCATATTGAATAGCCTGGACCTGAACATGTAGTAGTTGCTTAGCCCAACGTGAATTATTAGGCTTTCCTCTTTCTGAGGCGGGCCGGATAAAGATTCTGTGGATGGACCTAGTATTTAATCAAGTATCAAACCCATCAATATTATAAATTGTACGGCCCAGCCCATAACAAAAGGGGAAAATTGGTAATTTGCTGGTAACTGTAAGGCGGTAAGCATAAAATGGAACTAAACAAGGGTTTATGAAATATACGTTAAACCCACGCCGGATTTGGAGGAGGCGGAGGAGGAAGCCGCCTGAGTCTCAGCCGTCGCAGCTCCCAAATCTCCGACGCACACCCTTTTCCCATAGCTGATTCCATCTTCTGACACCTAGTAGGTATCGTCTCTGCTCTCTACATACACTCATACGCATTAGCTTTTTACTCATGCCCGAGCTCGTTTCAGGTCTATCCGATTTGCAGAACAATTGCATTTAAGCCAAGGTTATTGGTTCAGCTACAATGGCTATAGATAGCGGTGCATCGGAGCAGTCGCATAAAGTTCACAGATCTCGCCAGTCAGGTGCCTCCAAGAAGAAGAAAACTAAACCCCACAAGAACAAGGAAGATAATTCCGATGAGAAGAAACAAAACCCTAAGGTTCTTCTTGTTCCTTTATCTTTAATGAGTTTTCTATTTGTTTATCGCTTTCACTAATTCAAATTTTTTTTTTTTTTACTTAATTTATGTGAAACAGGCTTTTGCCTTCAGTTCTAATTCGAAAGCAAGGCGTTTGCATTCTCGGGCTGTCGAGAAGGAGCAGCGCAAGCTTCATATTCCTGCTATTGATCGTTCCTATGGCGAGGTCCCTCCATATGTGGTCGTTGTACATGGACCACCTAAGGTTACGTATGCCAATTCGAATAGTCAATCGGCAATTTCTTTGCTCAATTCTTACATTTTCATTAATTTGTTTGTTTTTAATTTGATTGCAAATTTTTATCTGTTGGAAGAAGTTTCCAAAGTGGGAACTAGCTGGTTTGTTGATTTTTGTGTGGCTCAAGTGATAGATGTCAGTCACAGTTTGTAGATGATGAAATTCTTTGATGGGTTTGCAGGTTGGCAAGTCTCTTTTAATAAAGTCACTTGTAAAGCATTACACTAAGCATACTTTGCCTGAGGTTCGAGGACCAATTACCATTGTATCAGGTTAACGTTTGCCCAACTGTTGAGGCTTTTTTTTTTTTTTTTTTTTGGGTTTTGTTTTGTTGCTTATTGGTTTAGAGTAGTAGTCCAGTGTAGGTTCTTGGTCTAATGATAGACTTATTTGGATAATGTTAGGTAAGCAAAGGCGGATTCAGTTTGTGGAGTGCCCAAATGATATCAATGGCATGGTTGATGCTGCAAAGTTTGCTGATCTAGCTTTGCTTCTTATAGATGGAAGCTATGGCTTTGAAATGGTGTGATATTGATTTCCATTGAGTTTGACTTTTGCTATCTAGTCTATTGACACTCATAATGTTTCATTCCTTGAATTTCTTGCAAAACTATATTTGTAAGGTTGTCATGTATGTCTAGCAAGTTTCATTTTTTTGGAACTTGGAACTACTATCTTGGTTTTGATTTTCACCTAAAAGTAATTATTTTCCTTGCAGGAAACGTTTGAATTCCTTAACATATTGCAAGTTCATGGATTCCCCAAGGTAATGGGAGTTCTTACTCACCTTGATAAGTTCAAGGATGTAAAGAAACTGAAGAAAACAAAACAGCGTCTTAAGCATCGTTTTTGGACGGAAATTTATGATGGAGCAAAATTATTTTATTTATCTGGTCTCATTCACGGGAAGTAAGCAACATTCTGAATCCTTTGGTTTATCCTCTTATATATAAATTAGTACCCTCTGTCATAGAGATTTGATGTTCATCCTTTTAATGACAGGTACCCCAAACGAGAAATTCACAATCTTGCACGTTTTATTTCTGTCATGAAGTTCCATCCTTTGTCTTGGAGAACTTCACATCCTTACATATTGGTTGACCGTTTTGAAGATGTGACTCCTCCTGAAAGAGTGCAAACTAATAATAAATGTGATAGAAATGTTACTCTCTATGGTTATCTGCGGGGTTGTAACTTGAAAAAGGGAGCTAAGGTATGTGTTATAAACCATTAATCAAATTATATTATTGCCCTTCTGTTGCTTTCTAAATGGTTGGGTATTTAAAAATTTCCCTATTGAAAGTGGGAATAAGAATCTTCTTTGTCATTATCAATACAACATACAGTGTTGCAAAAGGCACTGCCTAGGCTTGCCTAGGTGTTGCTTATGCACTAGGCGGCCCTATGCTGCCTGCCTTGACCTGGGCGGCATGGCAATACTGCCCTACCCCTTTTTTGGATCCTTTTTGATAAAAATTTAAACCACACTATTTTGTTTTTCAATTTTTTTAACAAATAAAGAAGAAACGTGGTTGTTTGGTTCTCAAGGATCAACAAAAAGCAAAAAACTCTAAATGCTGATCATTTAGGGTTTTCTACAACTTCAACTCCTCTACTCTTTCACTGTAATTAATTGATTTTAGTTACGTTGATTTTAGACTTCTAGCAAGTTTTGTTGATTAATTGATTTTAGACTTTTAAATGATTTTTTTCTCCAAATTTTCTGAATTTTTTGGATTTTTTTTCAAAAGTGGCGCACAAATAGCCAAAGCAGTCTGGGCACCTTCAGATTATGTTGTATCTGCGTTTTGCTTTGATAAAAAATAAAAAAACTGTTTTATGCTTATGTTTTGTTGATAATATGGAGTTAGGGGCTAATTGGTGTTGCAGGTGATGGTTTTTTTTGGTGACTCTTTGACAAAGAACATGCATCATGTACTAAATCTGTTTAGAAGATTTTGAGTTTATATTGGAAATATCACATGTTGCTCAAAAAGAGGAATTTTGTTTACCTGTCCACACGATAATTCAACCTCAGATTTAATTATATGGTAATGGTAGTAAAAATAGCTGCCCAAAGCGGTTGTGTAATGTTCATTGTGATGCCCAATGCACTGTTTAAGCAAAGGTAAATATGACTCAAGAGTTCACATTCCACTGTTTCTTGGTTTGCCTTAGTTTTGTCTTAGGTTCTTAAGGACATATTACAGAGCAATTAATGTACTACTGAGACTGTTCTTCGTGTTTTCAATGGTTTCTTGCAGTCCAAATCTCCTAGAAAATGACTGATAGAGTTTCTTGTTTTCCACATATGGTAAAAATAACTCGTGGGCAGTAGTTCTAACATTAAATTCATATATTTTTTTTCTTGTCAAAGTTTCACCAGTAATTGCACCAGTAATTGCATCATTGATTGTGATTTGAGACTAGTGGCATCTGATGGCCTGCTAATTTTAACCACATTGAAACATTATCTTCTAAAGAAAATCAGTGGGTTTTTTCTCTCTACTGGTATGTTATTACAATTCAATTTTTAATTTCTGAATCAGGTGCATGTTGCTGGTGTTGGAGATTACAGTTTAGCAAGTGTTTCTGGCCTATCTGATCCTTGTCCTTTACCATCAGATGCCAAAAAAAAGGGATTGCGTGAAAAAGAAAAACTTTTTTATGCACCCATGTCTGGACTTGGGGATCTGCTCTATGACAAAGATGCTGTCTACATAAACATAAATGATCACCTTGTGCAGTATTCCAAAGTCGATGATGGAAATGGAGGGGCAGCACGTAAAGGTCTAGATCACGTTTCATTTTCTCATCATCTTTCTTCTAATTACCAAGAATAATTTTTGCAAAGTTCTCACCCCTCTCTACTTCTTGAGACCAGGAAAGGACAAGGATGTTGGGGAGTTCTTGGTAAAATCACTTCAGAATACACAATATTCAATTGATGAGAAGTTAGAGAAGAGCAAAATTTCCCTTTTTGGTCAAAACCCTAATTACTCATCAGAAGCTCAAGGTGGTGAAAAGAATTCCCTGGAAGGACAAGAGCAGATTCATGATAGAGAGTCTTTGGAGCAATATCTGACTGATGAAGATGATGATGATGCTAGTCAATTTGGTGAAGAAAATGATGATGATTATTTGGATGATTCAAGATCTTTAGGTCAAGGGAAAGATGCTCAAAATGCAATGCTCAAGAGTGAGGATACTGATCGTGTTGAATTTCATGGTGGTAGGCTAAGGAGAAAGGCTATTTTTGGAAATGATGTTGATCATAATGATCTTAAGGTGATTATTGCTGATGCTTTCACTGTGGTTAATTTAATCACAATTGCAATAGGTGGATAGGTAGAAGGGTCATGGAACCTCCAAGTTCTCTTTAACCCCATCTCTGCTTGTAGGTTGAGCAAAAAACCAATAACTAAGATTGAAATGGCAGTATTTGGTTCTATTTAATTTTTGGTGAACAAGAAAGCCAGAAAATTTGTTTCAGTTTTTGCAAATAGAAATTGGAAAAAAAAAAAAAATCAAACAATAATATCTTATTGCATATGTTTTTAAAACAAATTATTGATTTTTAAATAAGTGCATAATAATATTGCATTATAGGTTAAGTGTACTGTATTGGTAGTCAAATCCCTCTGGTAAATAATATTTTTGTTTAGCCATGGCTTTTTCTTTTCAACAGCAAAAAAAAGATCTTATATTGTAAAGGAGTACAAGGCCAAGGGTATCCCAACCTTTGCAAAATAGTATATATACTGAAGCAGTTTTTTCATCTGTTGCAGGATTCAGATGAAGAGAATGAACAAGATGAAAATGATGGTGATGAAGATACTGAGTCATCTTCAAGCTCAGATTTTTCTGATGAAAGTGGAGAGGATCTAAAACCAGATGGTACCCTTTATCACTTAATTTTCAAATTCTGGATTCATCAAAAAGATTTCAGATTTTGAGATTTGTAATGTTCATTGGTGGGAGACATGATATTTTCAACTATGGCTGAAAGTTACGATATAAATAATGTAGTCTGACAAATTTGTTAGATTAATGGTTTATGTTAATAATTTAACTTCATTCAGTGGGTAAATGTATGTTAATATCAAATTGTTTTCTTATGCCTTTTTCTGATTAGAAAATGTCATGGGAAACATATCGAAATGGAAAGAGTCGTTGTTGGAAAGAGCAGTTTCTAGGCAAACCACTAATCTTACACAACTTGTGTATGGGAAATCTGCATCAACATCACCTACCCTAGTCACTGAAGAGCGGGACAGTGGTGAGGATGAAGAGGATGATGATGATGAATTTTTTAAGCCAAAAGGAGAAGGGAAAAAGGTATGTTCTGGACATCACTCTTTGCATTAGTATTTGGCTGTTAACACTGTTGTTCAAATATGTTGCCTCTTTGAACTTTTTAGACCTTTGCCTTCACTCTTTTTTTTGGTGCTTTGCTGCAGACATCAAAAGGAGGACACGATGATGCAGATTTTAATCTTGAGGACTGTTCAAAATTTACAAATTATTCAGAACCTAATAATTGGAAAGAAAAAGAAGTATACGAGAGCATTCGTGATCGTTTTGTTACTGGTGATTGGTCAAAATCTGCTCTTAGGAATCAGGTGTCAGATGCTAAAACTGAAGATGAAGACGATGAGTATGGTGACTTTGAAGATTTAGAAACAGGTGAGAAGTATGAGAGCCATCTTAAAGATGATTCTGGCACTGATGCAATGGACAAGGAAGATGATGCAGTAAACAAGGAGCGGAGGTTAAAAAAGGTTCTTAAGCATGCAAAATTCAACGCACAATATCCTTTTCACTTGAATTATGTGCAATTTGTTCTCTGAGTATGAGCTCTTTTAGAATAATCCTGCCTTCTTGTTTCTCTGCGTACCTATGCTTGGAGTTTGAGATAGAATGGGTGGTGTGGTTGATCAATCTCATTGCTTTCTGGTTATGCTTCTTAGTTCACAGGATAAATTGATGGTTATTGTTTTTCATTCCTTTTATGCTTTGATTTTTATTATGGCTGTATTGAAACAGTCCTATTGTGTGGTATTGGTGAAATTTGCTCTCTTTTATCTATGGGTACAAGTGTGGTTGCTTTGCTTTGTGGCCTTAACTTTGACTTACATATGATGGATCTGAATTACCAGAAGAAGAAAATGATGCAAGACGTGGGACAGAGTCTCACCTTGGTCAACCTACTGGGAGTTCATATTATGATAAGGTAGACTTTTTGGAATACATTTTGATCAATTTCATATTGTAATATAAGGTTTTGAATGCTAAAATTATTTGTTGTTCTTCCAGCTGAAAGAGGAGGTTGAACTTCGTAAACAATTGAATAGGGCTGAACTCAATGATCTCGATGAGGCTACTCGGCTAGAAATTGAGGGCTTCCGAACAGGGACATATTTAAGATTGGAGATTCATGATGTTCCATTTGAGATGGTTGAATATTTTGATCCTTGCCACCCCATTCTAGTTGGAGGGATTGGTCTGGGTGAGGAAAGTGTTGGATACATGCAGGTTGGTGGATGGTATTTTTACTTTTTCTATATGTTACTTTTTTAATTACATCGTTAAAGAGTGGAAAAAATTGGAATCTGCATTGGAAATTCATGATAGAATTGGTCCAATTGGAATACTGGAAATTGATTTGTAGTGCTGGAATTAATTTTATTAGGTTTTTATTTTATTTATTTATTTTTCATCAACCTGGTGAAAGTCAGAATTGAACTTAAAAAGGGTTTGATATCTTTGAGTTATGTTAATTCTTGGCTAGGATCTGACATGTTTTGTTGAAAATTTGACATATGTGGCTTGTGTATTGTATTGAAAAGAATTTGTTAGCAATGGCTAATATATTTCTCATCAAAGAAAAGATTTGCTTGCTTATCCTGCATTCCTTTGATTTAACTTGATCGGGTGAGTTCAACAGTAATCTTGGGTGGGGACACCACCCCTCAATAGAAAACATGATCACCTGATTTTTGCTGTGGGTGTCTCCCCAACCAAAGCCACCTGATTTTGGTTGAGCAGTGCATACCTCCATGTGAAAATAGGTTCTCCCTTTAATTTTTCATTGTATTACAGAAATTTCAGTATCATTATAGGTATAGTTTCTTTTCCTTTCAGGCAAGGCTGAAACGGCATAGATGGCACAAGAAGGTGCTGAAGACTAGAGATCCAATAATTGTTTCGATTGGATGGAGGCGTTATCAAACTACCCCTGTTTATGCTATTGAGGACAGAAATGGAAGGCATCGTATGCTCAAGTACACTCCAGAACATATGCATTGCCTTGCAATGTTCTGGGGCCCTCTTGCCCCTCCCAACACAGGGGTGGTTGCAGTCCAAAATTTATCAAATAATCAGGTCTGCCTTTTCTTTGATGTTCCTTAAAAGTTTTAGGTTGAGAAAGGAAACTTTTAAATATTTTTATGTTTTTTACGATTTTTTTCCCCCTAGACCAAGCAGCTTTTGTTTGTTTGTAATGCCAGGCTGCATTTCGGATCACAGCAACAGCAGTTATACTTGAGTTCAACCACGCAGCTCAGATAATGAAAAAGATTAAGCTGGTTGGTTACCCTTGCAAAATCTTCAAGAAAACAGCACTCATCAAGGACATGTTTACTTCAGATCTTGAAATTGCTCGGTTTGAAGGTGCAGCAGTTCGCACAGTCAGTGGGATCCGAGGGCAGGTGAAAAAGGTATACTTGTTTCACATAAATGTTAGGCCCATTGGACCATTTATGTTACTTCCTCTTAGATTTTAGTATTATTGTCTGGTATTTATAAAGCGAGCATCCTTTTCGGGATGGACTCTTCTTAAATAAATGATAAAATTTTGAAGGCTTGCAAATATGGATTTTGGGTGCCAAGTGGTCTTGAGAGTGACTGCACCATGCATAAATGCTGAGGTGAAAACATGAGCTAGCATTATTCCCCCCAAGTCATTGATTTCTGAAGGCCAAGACCATAGTTAATACTGCTTACTTTCCCATTCCCCTCTTTGCAATGTGTTGATGGTATTGGTTTTGCCTTTTTTGCAGGCTGCCAAAGAAGAGATAGGTAATCAATCCAAAAAGAAGGGGGGACAACCTAGAGAAGGAATTGCCCGGTGCACCTTTGAGGATCGAATTTTGATGAGTGACATTGTTTTCTTGCGTGCATGGACTCAAGTTGAAATTCCCCAGTTTTACAACCCATTGACCACAGCCTTGCAACCTCGTGATAAGACCTGGCAAGGAATGAGAACGTTGGCAGAACTGAGAAAAGAACAGAATCTTCCTGTTCCTGTGAACAAGGATTCACTTTACAAGGTCTTTAGT